ATTCTTCTGATAGAGTTTATCTGGCTCTTTTCTCTCCTCTATATAAGGATGGGTGACTCCCCTTTCATATGATAAGTATTTTTCCATCACTCTAAGTTTTATAGTGATCCTAATTAGGAGAGACAGAGAGAAGAAGGTGAGCCAAGAATTAAAGGTTCAACTTTAAGGGGTATTTTTTCAACTTCTCTAATTCAATGGCTGACAAAGGTATGTTTGTTTTATTCTTGAGTTGTATTGAATTCACGATCCTGTAAAGTTTAATTCCGCATTATTATTGGTTACATGTATTATTAAAACTTACATGTGTGTGTTCAAATTGTGAGATGGGTTTTTATATTTGGTTAAACATTCTAGAGAGTAATTGAGTAATTGAGGGAATTACTGACTTCTTTCAGTTAGCAATGGGTTTAGTTCTGAGTTTTTGAATTCTGCTTCGAAGCTCTTGCAGGTTTGATGATCTTCACAATCTTCTCTTTGTTATGTTTCTTTTTCATTTTTTATTTACGTAGCTTTCAATTTATTTGGATTGGTATTTCTAAACCTTAAACTAATATGTAATTGTTTTACTTTTTGTGTTGTCAGGCATGGATCTTGACATTAGATCTATATCCAGTAGCACACTCGATTAAGTAGAATTTGGGACCATATTAGAGAAACATTATACTAATATTAGAGAAACATTCAATATCTGACTATACTCTACAATATTAGAGACATTCAATATCTTATACATCTAGAACATATTGAATGATGATAAACATAATTAAGGATGGGTGAGAAATATTAATTCAGTATTTGAAAATATAATAATTCTATTAAAATGGATATTTCTCTAGATTTATTAGAATTAAAATGTGTATAGTATAATGGTTCTATGGATAGTATATTAACATGGGATAGTATATTAAAATGTGGATAGTATAATGGTTCTAATATCTCTAAAAATAAAATGGATAGTATATTAGTATAATTATTTTTATTGCACGGGCAAAATAATACATATTTCTCACCCATCCTTATACGTATTTCTCACCCATCCTTATACAAAATATACTAAGGAATTTTTTTAGTTTATTACATTGGAGTGTAGTTTTGCATGTTAAATGGGGTGGAAAAGATTTAAGAACAGTAGAGTTTTGCATGTTGAATGGGGTGGGAAAGATTTCATGCTGCCTACATCAAGTATTTAGGAGTGGAGGCAACTCGAGTGTTTTGTTTCAGTATTATTTCTTATTGTAGTTAATGTGCGCTTTGTTTTTTTGACGTTTCTAATTTCCACATGTAGATATATATTCATATGTGTGTTCAAATTTTTCTCATCCGAATTTAATACTTTAATATGACATTTTGTATTTTATGTTTTAGGTGGCATGATTTTTGGATTTTGTATATGTATCTCTATGAACTTCCTTTTTTCTCTTTTGAAATTTTTTTGACATTATACTTTAACTACATGTTTTTTTGACATTTTTGCTTCCCATCTTCCTTTATTGTTGTCTATTGCATAAAATTTTTTATGCAAGAAGTTGTGATGGATGTTAGCATCCATATTTTGTAAATCATCCAGATTTGATTTATTTGCCTGTTCATGTGGTATATTGAATAATATAATTGTCTGATATCTTTTGACTAAGAGAATTAGTTAGTTTTTTTGGAGTTTAGAGAGAGAGCCATTTGAATCTTCGACTAAATCATTATGTGCTTCACATTACATGCATTTGGATATGAATAAGGTTTCCAACAGTGACTTGTGTGTGTATGTTTGTATATAGATATATATGAAACTGTAATGTTGAATCAGTATGACACATGAAACAGGATTATGAAAACATCATATTTGGCCTCATAATCACTTTGGAGGACCATCAACTTGGTGATTCCTAAAAATGTAATAATAGTTATAAAGTAATTTTCCTTTTAAAGGTTATTCTACATGTACACATGTTGAAAATAAAAAGGAAAATATATCATCATAATGGAATAAAAAGGAAAATGTATCATCAAAAAATTATGAGCAGTTGACAGTCAATTACCAAGCCAAAAAATTATGAGCAATTAAAATTTTCTTATGTAGTTATAATTTGATTGGCAACAGTAGCACTAACTGGTGTGCATTTTAATTTTAATTTCGTTTAAATTGCAGAGCATTGGCTGGTGTGCATTATTTGATATTTAATTTTTTTTTTATATTTGATTTGTTTGGAATTGTAAAGTACAGTCTGTTAAATATATTTTTATAACTGCATTTTAATCTTAATATTATTTACACCGTACAGTCTGTCCTTTTATTTCATTTTTTATTTTATTTTATTTTATATCATTTAATTTTTAATTTTATTTAATTATTTATTTTTCCATTACTTGCAAGTGCATTTTAGAAAGGAGCTTCATGAAATATAAAATTCAGTTCACTTACAAGTGAGGACTTTGATTGTGGAAGTTGTTATCTGTCATACCAAAACTGGTATGTATAGTTGATCACTCATCTCTTGCTGTAATCATCCATGTCCTTTTATTTCATTTTATTTTTAATTTTTAATTTTATTTATTTATTTTTCCATTACTTGCAAGTGCATTTTGGAAAGGAGCTTCATGAAATATAAAATTCAGTTCACTTACAAGTGAGGATTTTGATTATGATAGTTGTTATCTGTCATACAAAAAATGGTATGTATAATTGATCTCTCCTCTCTTGCTGTAATCATTTGCTTCTGATATGGCATATTTAAGGATCCCTCTAATAATCTACTTTAGTAATTGCAATTTTGTATAAAGATTTGCCTTATTCCCATTACATGTCGGTGGAACATGATGAAGTCCAGTCCCACTAATCTCCTTGCATGGCTTGAACACTTTGTGGGCTTGCGCCTAAAGCCTGAACTTTGGTGGTGCTTCTTAACGTTCAAGTTGTTAGCAATTCATGTTTCCCAAACTAAGATCATTGGTGAGAAGTGGTGCTGAAATTAGTGTCTAAATTCCCTGCATGGTCAACGTGGTTGAACAAAAGAAAGTTTGATCCATAGATCAAGTTGCATGGAAACTGGCATAAAGATGGATGGGCTCATCAAAGATAATCAAAAAATTGAGAAGGTAAATCCTTTAAAAAGTATACGAACATTAGACGGTGCAAAGACATTCCAATTTTTTTTCAATAATGTAAGTGCATTGGACATTAGCCATACATGAATATGAAAACACATGAATATGTTTCTTTATCTACATGTTAAGAACTGCTTAGCTGATTGAAAGCATTGGGGCCTCGCCTTTATTTTTTTTATTCCATTTGAATACTTTTGGTAAACAACCCAACTTTCTCCCTAATATCTTATAGAAACTGTTTAATTTAAACCACCTGAAAGGCCAATATTATTATGGCCATGTTACCATAATTGCAACCACTTTGCATAGCTTAGTAGATATATGCTAAGAGTTGCTTACAATTTTTGTTTGACTGAAAGTCTTAACCTTTTATACGCATGTTAGAAATGTGCATAATTTTGTCATGGTTAAACATTACGATGTTGTTTTTAATTTGTCTTTTCTTTTCTTTTCTATCTTTCATTTAAAAAAGAGAAGATATTATGGGGGGGGAAATGTTTTGTTTTTTCCCCAAAAAGTTCCCCCCCCCTTTTTTTGAGGAAAAAAAAAAATTTACGCCAAATTAAGGAATCCCATGATATCAATTATTTATGTGTGATAGCAGCAGAATGGTGCATTTTCAATGTTCTTAATCTTCCTTTGGAACATTGTTGGCTGCTTTATGCATTTGATAGTTCTTATGTTTCAATTGCCCAGAACTTTATTTTTCATTGGTCTTCTTCAAACATTCGTCCACAGATGACACCATTTGCTATGCTCTTCACATGCTGCAGCTGGAATAATAAGGAGATTCAACATTGGTAAAGCAAAGGATTCTCATTTCCATTTTTTTTTTTTTTTTCCTTTTGATTATTAGTGAAAAAACTTTATACCACCACGCCCAACATCATTTTCAAGTTTGTCCAAACGGACAAAACCCAAAATAGTGTGTAAATGCGCCATCGAGATTGGCTGCTCACTCGAGAATACCGAAAAATCAAGGGGGTTATATTCTTAAAGTTTTTTCCACTAATATCCAAAGAAAAGAAAAAATGAATAGATCTATGCCCTTACCACGAGTGTTGATCTTCTTATTCCAGGCTGCAGCATGTGAGAGCATAGCAAATGGTGTCATTGTTTCGAGAAATGTTGAAGAAAGACCAATGAAAATAAAGTTCTTGGCAAATTGAAACATAAGAACTATTCAATGATAAAGCAGGCAACCAATGTCCAAAGGAAGATTAAGAACATGAAAATGCACTTCTGCTGCTATCACACATAAATAATTGATATTCAATGGGACTTTCCTAATTGGGTAAATTCTCAAAGACTTTGAAACAATCAAAATAAACCCATAATATCTTCTCTTTTAAATGAAAGATAGAAAAGAAAGAAAAGATAAATTAAAAACAACATCGTAATGTTTAACCATGGACAAGATTATGCACATTTTCTAACATGCGTATAAAAAGTTAAGACTTTCAAGTCAAACAAATTGTAAGCACTCTTAGCATATATCTACTAAAGCTATGCAAGTGGTGCAATATGGTAACATGCCATAACAATATTGCCTTTCAGGTGTTTAAATTAACAGTTTCTATAAGATTTAGGAGAAAGTTGGGTTGTTTACAAAGTATCAAATAATAAAAACTAAAGGCGAGGCCAATGCTTTCAATCAGCTAAGCAGTCTAACATGTAGATAAAAAACATATTCATGTGTTTTCATATTCATGTATGTAATGTCCACTGCACTACATATTGAAAAAATGGTAATGTCTTTGCACCGTCTATGTTCTATACTTTTTAAAGGATTTACCTTCTCAATGTTTTTGATATCTTGATGAGCCCTCCATCTTTATGCCAGTTTCCATGCAACTTTTGATCTAGGATCAAACTCTTCTTTTGTTCAACCAGTTGACCATGCAGGAATTTAGACACTAATTTCAGCACCACTTCTCACAATGATCTATAGTTTGGAAACATGAATTGCTAACAACTTGAACGTTAAGAAGCACCACCAAAGTTCAGGCTTGGCGCAAGCCCACAAAGTGTTCAAGCCATGCAAGGAGATTAGTGGGACTGGACTTCATCATGTTCCACCGACATGTAATGGGAATAAGGCAAATCTTTATACAGAATTGCAATTACTAAAGTAGATTATTAGAGGGATCCTTAAATATGCCATATCAGAAGCAAATGATTACAGCAAGAGAGGAGAGATCAATTATACATACCAGTTTTTTGTATGACAGATAACAACTATCATAATCAAAATCCTCACTTGTAAGTGAACTGAATTTTATATTTCGTGAAGCTCCTTTCCAAAATGCACTTGCAAGTAATGGAAAAATAAATAAATAAAATTAAAAATTAAAAATATAAAATGAAATAAAAGGAACATGGATGATTACAGCAAGAGAGAGTGTCAACTATACATACCAGTTTTTGATATGACAAGATAACAACTTTCACAATCAAAGTCCTCACCTGTAAGTGAACTGAATTTTATATTTCATGAAGCTCCTTTCTAAAATGCACTTGCAAGTAATGGAAAAATAAATAAATAAATAAATTAAAATTAAATGATATAAAATAAATAAAATAAAAAATGAAATAAAAGGACAGACTGTATGGTGTAAATAATATTAAGATTAAAATGCAGTTATAAAAATATATTTAACAGACTGTACTTTACAATTCCAAACAAATCAAATATAAAAAAAAAAATTAAATATCAAATAATGCACACCAGCCAATGCTCTGCAATTTAAACGAAATTAAAATTAAAATGCACACCAATTAGTGCTACTGTTGCCAATCAAATTATAACTACATAAGAAAATTTTAATTGCTCATAATTTTTTGGCTTGGTAATTGACTGTCAACTGCTCATAATTTTTTGATGATACTTTTCTTTTATTCATTATGATGATTATTTTCTTCTTTTATTTTCAACATGTGTACATGTAGAATAACCTTTAAAAGGAAAATAACTTTATAACTATTATTACATTTTTAGGAATCACCAAGTTGATGGTCCTCCAAAGTGATTTATGAGGCCAAATATGATGTTTTCATAATCCTGTTTCATGTGTCATACTGATTCAACATTACAGTTTCATATATATATATATATAACAAACTCACACACAAGTCACTGTTGGAAACCTTATTCATATCCAAATGCATGTAATTTGAAGCACGTAATGATTTAGTCGAAGATTCAAATGGCTCTCTCTCTAAACTCCAAAAACTAACTAATTCTCTTAGTCAAAAGATATCGACAATTATATTATTCAATATACCACATGAACAGGCAAAATAAATCAATCTGCATGATTGACAAATATGGATGCTACATACAACTTCTTGCATAAAAAAATTTTATGCAATAGACAACAATAAAGGAAAGATGGGAAGCAAAAATGTCAAAAAAAACATGTAGTTAAAGTATAATGTCAAAAAAATTTCAAAGAGAAAAGGAAGTTCATAGAGATACACATATAAAATCCAAAATCATGCCACCTAAAACATAAAATACAAAATGTCATATTAAAGTATTAAATTCGGATGAAGAAATTTTGAACACACATATGAATATATATCTACATGTGGAAATTAGAAACGTCAAAAAAACAAAGCGCACATTAACTACAATAAGAAATAATACTGAAACAAAACACTCGAGTTGCCTCCACTCCTTAAATACTTGATGTAGGCAGCATGAAATCTTTCCCCCCCATTCAACATGCAAAACTATATTGTTCTTTAAATCTTTTCCACCCCATTTAACATTGCAAAACTACACTCCAATGTAATAAACTAAAAAAAATTCCTTAGTATATTTTGTATAAGATGGGTGAGAAATACGTATAAGGATGGGTGAAAATATGTTTATTTGCCCGTGCAATAAAAATAATTATTATCTAATATACTATCCATTTTATTTTAGAGATATTAGAACCATTATACTACCACATTTTAATATACTATCCCATGTTAATAACTATCCATAGAACCATTATACTATACACATTTTAATTCTAATAAATCTAGAGAAATATCCATTTTAATAGAATTATATATATTTTCAAATACTGAATTAATATTTTCTCAACCCATCCTTAATTATGTTTTATCATCATTCAATATGTTCGTAGATTGTATAAGATATGAATGTCTCTAATATTTGTAGAGTAAGTCAGATATGAATGTTCTTCTAATATTAGTATAATGTTTCTCTAATATGGTCCAAATTCTACTTAATCGAGTGTTGCTACTGGATATAGATTTCTAATGTCAAGATCCATGCCTGACAACACAAAAAGTAAAACAATTACAATATTAGTTTTAGGTTAGAATACCAATCCAAATAAATTGAAAGCTAACGGTAATAAAAATGAAAAAGAAACATAACAAAGAGAAGATTTGTGAAGATCATCAACCTGCAAGAGGCTTCGACAGCAAGAATTCAAAAACTCAAGACTAAACCAATTGCTAACTGAAAAGAAGTCAGTAATTCCTCAATTACTCAATTACTCTCTAGAATGTTAACAAATATAAAAACCCATTCACAATTTGAACACACAATGTAAGTTTTAATAATACATGTAACCAATAATAATGCGGAATTAAACTTTTAACAGGATCGTGAATTCATACAACTCAAGAATAACAAACATACCTTTGTCAGCTTTTAATTAGAGAAGTTGAAAAAAATACCCGCTTAAGTTGAACCTTTAATTCTTGGCTCACCTTCTCTCTCTGTCCTCTC